ATCAAGACAAGGAATTGATGACTTTGAGTTGTGGTGCTGGAGAAAATATTGAACACTATATGGACTGCCAATAGAACAAACAGGTCTGTCCTGGAGGGGCTGAAACCAAGTTACTCCTTGTAGGCAAAGATTTTGAAGCTCCGTCTGATATACTTTGGGCATATTTCCAGGCGAGGCCAGTCTTTGGAGAAGGACATCATGCTTGGAAGGGTGGAGGGACAGTGTAGAAGAGGGAGACCCTGCATGAGATGGATTGACACAGTAATTGGGGTAATAAGGGTAGATGTATCAGAGGCTCAGGATAGGGCAGAATTCAGAGTTATTGTGCATACGATCACTATGAGTTGTAGTCAACCTGAAGGCACATAACAACAAACACAATTGGGAGATATCTATGTTGCAGTCCTAAAGGCATGGGAATTCAGCTGCTTTGCAGAAGAAGGATGTGTAATCAATTCTGGTTGCTTAGTGGTAAGGAGTTATGCTGTAAAACTAAAGGCATGTGGTTTGAATGATTCCATGGGAGAAAGCTGGGAAATCTCCTACCATGCAGTTTCCTGCTTCAGAAAACTCTCTGAAGGGTCAGCTATTAGTTAATTTTGACTCCAAGACACACTACAACATACACAATACGTCTATTAAGCATTTTTGTTTGTCAAAAGATGACTAAAAAATTCTCAAGATGAGCATGACTTTGGAAACTATAGATCTGAAAAGAATCTAAAAATTGCAAATAAAACTTCAACAGCCTAACAACAATAACACAAAGGAACAAAGGACTTGAATAGACATTTCATCAAAAAGGATAGTCAAAGAACACCAAACACATAAAAAGCTGCTCAATGTTATTAGTCATAAGAACAATGTAAATAAAAACTAGTGAGATGTCATTTCATTTCCTCTAGGGTAATCTAGTAGGGAGCCCTGGTGGCCTAGTAGTAAGAAGCAGTGCTGCAATCCGAAAGGCACCCAGTTTGAATCCACCAGCTCCTCCATGGGAGACCCACTTGCCTTTGGGTTGGCAGAGCAATTGCTTACCCACTCAGCCACCAGAGCTCCTGTATCTATAATTAGAAACAAGAAATCTTTTGTTTTAGAACAGGTATAATTTTGAATATTTTTGTCCTCTTTGTTGTTTTGTTGTGTCCTCTTATTTTAACAAAAATTCTTATTTTCTTTCTCGTAGTAGACAGAAATTAGTTATGCTTGTGATTTATTTGTCCATGATCCTTCTGTTTTTGTTGTTGTTATGTGCCATCGAGTCAGAACTTATTAATAACTGATCCTTCAGCGGGTTTTCAGAGGCAGTTTAATCACATGTAAAGAGATTGCCCATCCTTCTGCAGAGCAGAGCAGTTCATGGATTCAACCGTCGAGCCTTTGGGATTGCAGTGCAGCTGCTTCTTCTTCTTCTTTTTTTTTTTTCTTTTTTTTTTTACTTTAATCTGTGGCCCTTAGGCCTGTTTTGGGTTTTTATTTTCTATAAATTTTAAGAACATTTATAGACATTTTGGATTTCCATTCATTCATTACTGTATTTTTCTCCCTGCCCTCCCCAAATTCACTCTTCTCTTTGAAAAGTTAAAGAAAAATTATTTCATTGTTATACAATCCCTACTCCCAAGTGTACCCCACTAGGCAGCCTTAATTCTGGACTCCTATCATGATAATAATATCTAATCACATATCGCTTTTAAACAGTTCTCTCCCTTATCTGTTTCAATGACGTATACATTATTTGTCCCCTCTTTCTCAGTCTCCCCTCGACCCCGATATTAGTCCCATTTTACAACAGTGGCGCTATGCAGTATCTGTCCTTATGTGACTGAGATATTTCAGTCAGCATTATGTCCTCCAGGGTCATCAGTTTTATATAATATTTCATGAGTTCTTTGTTTTTCAGAGCTGCATAATATTCCATTGTATGAATATATCAGTGCTTCTCTATCCATTTGTTTGTTGATGGGCACTTGGGTTGTTTTCAACTCTTTGCTATTGTGAACAAAGCCACACTAAACATGAGTGTGCATATATCTGCTTGGGTGACAGTTCTGGTTTCTTTAGGATATATTCCCAGTAGTAGAATTGCTGGGTCAAATAGTATTTCTATTTCCAACTTTTTGAGAAAGCGCCATACGGTCTTCCATAGTGGTTGAACCATTTTACACTCCACCAACAGTGAATAAGGGTTCCAGTTACTTCACAACTTCGCCACCATTTGCTGTTTGCTGTTCTTTTAAATGTTGCTATTCTTATTGGGGTGAGATGATATCTCATTGCTGTTTGCAGTGCAGCTTCTTACCACTAGGCCACCAGAGCTCCCTTCTATTATTCTATTATTACTCCCTCCTCTATTCTATTTATTATTATACTATGGTGTTACTGTATTACGAGTTCATTAGATTTGGGGTAGGAGAATATCACAAGTTACCCAAGTTACACAATTTAAACAATTTTACACCATTTAAAAATATTTATAAAATTCCTGATAAAATAATTCTAAGAGTTTTTTTCAGTCTAAATTCTACTTCTAACTCACTGCTAATCCTTTTCTTCTCTATAAGGCTTGTCTCCTTGTAGTACTTGTTCTGCTTTTGAGGTAAATGAAAGCCAAAGTGAAACTTTTAGTAGGACACACAGAGAGCATTATAAGAAGGTAAAAGTGGAAAATTATTTAAATAATTATGTGGTGGTAGTAGAATGAAGAGTACTTTTCAGAAGTAATTTCCTCTTTTAGTCTCATACATGTAATTTACCTGTGATATTTTATCATGGCTGCACCAATGAACTAAAATAGAGCAAAACTTTGAAGATTAAACCAAATTGGACTGAAGTTTGGTTTAATGTATTACAGAGGTGCTCTATGTTAAGAATTGATTCCATGGTATCTAAGAACAACAATTTTATAAATCTGATGGGGAATTCATATTACAAATATGACAGAGTTCACTGAGTTATACATATCTATGATTCAGAATACATTTCATGAGCTCACCATTCCTTTTCAGTTGCTAATGGAGGTATTTTCTCTGTAGTTTCCTGGTAATCATCATTCAAAGAAGAGCTTATCTTGAGTCACTCAGTAATTTCCTTTGAGTCAATAATTGACAAGAGGCTGTAAATAGCATTTGGAGGAGATTGCCCATTATTAACCAGAAAAGCACCTGGTGGATTTTAACGGCCTGCATCTGACTGGGAAGTGCAATGTCCTATGGACACAGACTAAAGAGTGATTAAAAAAAAAAAACCTAACAAAACACAAACAAAACCCCAACCCACATAAAAACAGATGCTCCTTCCATCCCCTATACTCCCTCAGAAGACTCAAAGTAAAACTGTTGCTAAATTTGGGTTGGCAAAACATGATACCAAATGAAGAGTTCCAACCCTATCATTAGAAGACTCTGGCACTCAAGCTCAGGATGGAAAACCCCATAAAACGAGTTGCCACCATTTTTTCCAACTCATAAACTCAACTCATTGCTACAGGATCAGAACTGACTCATAGCTGACTCTCCATATGGTTTTTTGAGGCAGGAGATTTGCCTATCTCGTACAGAGCTTGAACCCTGCTAGTTGATTCAAACTCACTACCTTTGGGTTAGCAGCTCATTTCAACTCATGTTGTTGTTATGTGCCGTCAGGTTGTCTGTGACCCATTGCGACCCTATGTACAACAGCCTGCTCTGTCCTGAGCCAGTTTCACTGACTCTGACACACCTACTCTCATTACTGCAGTTACCATCTCATCCGGGGTCTTCCTCTCCTGCGCTCTCCCTTCACCCTTCTGAACATGATGGCCTTCTCCAAGGACCAGTCCCTCCTGGCCACATGCCCAAAGTTTGTGAGACAGAGCTTAAAAATCGTAGCCTTCAACTCATAGAGGCCCTTCATATGTCATATTAGAACTGCTCCATAGTTCTTTCATTGGCTGATTTTCTTAAGTAGATTATCAAGTGCCTCTAGGTATACTGGAACCACTAACCTTTCTCCTAGTGATTTAACTGCATCGTCCAGAGACTCTATTCTTAGGACAAGGTATTAGATTTTTGTTGTTTTGTTAATATAATTTCTTAAAGAAATGAACTGAAAATGGAAAATTCCTTTTTTTAATTTCCATTCATTCATTGTTGCACACTTTTCTCCCTGCCCACCCTTACCCCCTATTTCGACTTACTCTTTGACAAGTAAAAAAACAAAAAATTCTTTCATTGTTATACCCCCAGTCCACTTCACTATGCAGGTTTCATTCTGGACTCTCGTCATGACAATAATACCTAATCGTATATTCCTCCTAAACAGTTCTGTCCCTCATCTGTTTTAACGCAGTATATATTATTTATCCCCTATTAGTTTCCCTGCAACTCCAATGTCAGTACCGCTTACAACAGTGGCACTATGCAGTATTTGTCCTTTTGTGACTGAGTTAGTTCACTCAGCATAATGTCCTCCAGGGTCATCCATTTTGTATAGTATTTCATGAGTTCTTTATTTTTCAATATAGCATAGTACTCCATTGTGTGAATATATCACAGCTTCTCTATCCATTTGGTTGTTGATGGGCACTTGGATTGTTTCCAACTCTTTGCTATTGTGAACAAAGCTGCAATAAACATAAGTAAGATAACCACATATCTTCTTGAGTGGTGGTTATGGTTTCTTTGGGGTATATTCCCAGTAGTGGAATTGCTGGGTCAAATGGTATTTCTATTTGCAAATTTTTGAGAAAGCGCCATATGGCCTTCCATAGTGGTTGCACCATTTTTAAACTCCCACCAATAGTGAATAAGGGTTCTAGTTTTTTGAGGGTCCTGTGATCTCCTCTCTCAAAATGCTAGTGCACAGAAAAAAACACCCAGGGATTCAGTTATTCCACTTTTTCCACCCTTAACACGCAGTAGACTAGGCTCTTGCCGCCCTCTGGTGGCCAAGTCGGTCCTCCGCCTTCACCACAGAGCTTGGTTGTGATAGTTCTCCTGGCCGCCTGACGTCACATCCGGCCCCTGCGATTTGGCCTCACGGAACCCGCGCGATGAAGTGCCTGTTTGTTACTGTCGGGACCACCAGCTTTGACGACCTCATTGCGTCCGTGTTAGCGCCGGACAGTCTTCAAGTGAGTGGGGAAGGTGGGCCGGCGGCAGCTTCACGAGGTCCGCTTTCGCGAACCCAGATTCGCTAGGCCTTTTGACCTCGCAAGCCTTTCTTGTAGTCTGGGTAAACCTTCCTTTCCCACCTCGAAGCCCCGCCCCAAGCCAGACTGGGTCCTCTGCCTTGCTCTTTAAACTTCCCTAACTGGCTCCTCCTTTCTTTGGCTTCTCACTCCTTTCCGCTGTTCTATAAGGCTCCGCCCCTCGCATCTATGGCCTCGCCCCTTCTCCCAGAAGCCCCGCCCCTCCGGTCCTAGGCGTGTGCGTGGCGTATCTCTCGCCCCGCCCCCACCTTTTCCCAGCTCCCCGACGCGTGCAGTTAACTTAGCGGACCCGCGTTTTTCCTGCTGCTCTTCCGGCTCTAGTCCTCAGAGGGCGTCCTCAACCTCTAGGTGTCTCCAGCCTAGTCGCTGAGGCTAGCCGGCGAGGTTGTGCTCCGCCCTTCCTGCCTCCTCTAACCCCACCCCCTTTCAGTTCGCTGCTTTATCCCTCTAACTTTTTACCCGCTTGGTCTCTGAAGTTTTTCGTGGGACCAGTTTTCTTTCACGACTTGGTGAGCGGGGTCCTTTTAAATATCTTGTCAGGTTTCCGGCGGGGCCCAGGGCTCCTTCGGTAAAAAACAACTAATTTCCGTCCCAGTTAAGAATATTCGGCAGACTTTTCTCCCATATTCACTGTAGCCTGATTTAAGGGTCGTTTTGGTTTGTTTTGTTCTTTTCCCCTTCGCCCGTTTTAGATAATCAAGAGCCTCGGTTACAGCCGGCTTGTCCTTCAGATTGGTCGAGGAACTGTGGTACCTAAGCCATTCAGTAGTGACTCCTTTACTCTGGAAGTTTACAGGTACAAGGATTCCTTACAAGAAGACCTTCAGAGAGCAGACCTTGTTATTAGTCACGCAGGTAAACGCCTTGGCGTCTCAGTTCGCTTTGGTGACGCACTAAAATTTGGGACACGGCCCCCCCCCCGGTACTTTGCAGCCCCAAGGAAAAAAATTCCATTCAATTCGCTAGATGTGGCAGTTGGGAACTTGATGGGGGAGAATTTCGCATTTGAGGGTAATTGAGGAGAAAAGTCAGAAGCGACTTGCGCAACTGGTTGAGTTTTGGTTTTTTAGGGGTTTGGGGGTGTCTTCTTTTGGTTCCCCAGTAACGTGGGATGAAGTGTTAGGCTCAAGATTTCAGGATTTGAGTTTTCTATCTGCTGTGATGCTGTTGAAGACCTGTTAGCTGGTGAGTTAATCTGAGAGGTGGCTTTCGGATTTTTTTTTTTTAACATTTCTACAAAATGTGAGTGTGAGAACGCAGAGGAGCACGCCTCAGGATTGTTTTCTGAGAATATTTCTTCTCAGAAAATAATCTTGATTATGGAGGCATCAGACTTTTCTGGTATTTTAGGAAAAACAGCTTTGGGGGAGTGAGAAAATATTAACTGCTAAAATTTTATTTTTAAAAAGAGTAATAATTTGAGAAGGAATAGTCCTTACAAATAAACATTATAGACAAATTGATGATTAAAAATGTGTAGAATAATTAACAGGGTTTTTGGCACTCTTTGGGGAATAGTAACTCCTTTAATCCAAACAATACTATAAATTGTAGTAAAATTGGTATCTTTTAAAAATGAGATTTGAAAAAGACATTAACATGTTAAGTAACTTGTACAGTTTGCTAATACTTTTAACTGTGGTGTGAAGTCTAAACTACTATTCCTGTATAATACCTGAAATTTTGTTGTTATGTTCCGTTGAGTCGCTTGTGACTCAGCGACCCTATGTACAACAGCCCTGAACCCTCTTATACCCTGTGCCAACCTTATTGTCTCTGACAAACCTACCCACATTATTCCAGCCACTGAATCCATCCATCTCATCAAGGCTCTTCCTCTCTTGTGCTGTCCCTCCACACTTTAAAACATGATGGCCCTCTCCACGGACTAGTCCCACTACCAGAACTACTATAGACATACAGATTGTCATATTTTTTGTTCACTGGTTAGATAGCTCAAAAAAAATCTTCATTTACAGTGTATGTACCTGAATCTTGGTTGAATACAGGGCCATACCAGAGCATATGACTAAAGGACAAGTAGCAAAGTATTAAATCTTAGGCCATAATATTGTGGGAGGTCTTTTAATTTATTATTAAATTATTAGAAACAGAAATGTGTTGTATCTTTTAATTTATTCTTTTCTCTTTTTTTCATAGGGTCACAGTGAGTTGTAATTGACTTGATGGCACCTAACAACAACATCAAAATAATTTGTAATAGATAATTGAAAGATACATTGTGTAGTTGTACCAAGAATGTTTTAGTTATAAAGACTAATGGGGCATTTTTAACTATTTTTTTTACATATTAACAATTTTTTATTTATTTTTGTAGGTGCAGGAAGCTGTTTGGAAACTCTAGAAAAGGGAAAGCCACTTGTAGTTGTAATAAATGAAAAATTGATGAACAATCATCAGCTAGAATTAGCAAAGCAGCTATACAAAGAAGGCCATCTCTTCTACTGTACCTGCAGGTATGCTACAAATTTATTATGTAACTGGCTTCATCTTCATTCTTCTCTGTTTTTCTTACCCATTTACTTAACCTGTCTGTTTCTTCTTCTCTTACTTCTTCCCCATATTAATTTTCTCACATAGAATACATCCTGTTTATTTTCCGGTTTGATTGTTTGGCCTTTCTGTGTATCTGTGGCTTTTTCTACATATATGATAATCTGACTGTGTGCATATATGTATGTAAATGTGTGTATATATATTTTCATGTGTGTGATTCATTAGACTTTCGTTATTGATGGAAGACATTTTCTTATTTTTTTGTTAACGAAGATTTTGCCATCAGTATATTCACTGTAATTGCTGAATTACTAATATATTCAATTATATGTGCCATGTACTATTTTAGGTGGTGAGGATATAGTGATGATCTAGAGATAAAATCGCTTTTCTTACTGTAGTAGTGAGAGATGGTAAATAAGTTTACAAGTGAATTGTCAAGATTGTTTCATATGTAAAATGTGCTATAAAGAAAAGAAGAGCATGTTATGAGTTAAAACTGAGTTACAGACATAGGATGATACTTTCAAAGTCAGGGAAGTTATGATACATGACAGTTGAACTGAGACCTGAATGATAAGGGGCCAGTGTGACACTATAGAAGCAAAGGGAACAGCAGATAATAAGGGTATGTTTAAAGCATTGAGAGAAGATTGATGTACATTGTAAGATGAGGCTAGATGGATATAGTTTATTATAAGAGTTCTGATTTCTGTATTCAGTGAGAAGACTTTGAACATTTTAGCAGAGGAATTACTTCATGGTAAAGAGTATTATTTTCTAGAAATATATTAAAATTCATCAAGAACTTAAACCAACTTTGGAGTAAGAGGATTAAGAAAATTATTGGTTTGTTATTTGTCCTTAATACACTATAACTTGTAATAAGGTAGAGTCAGTAATTGTCAGTTGTTTTATTTTAAAGCATATCCTAACTTATTGCTTTTTTAAAAATAAATATTTTCAACTATTACAAAAAATATTTTGTCATAAATTAAAATAAGTTTTAAAAAATAAACCATAGAATCGTACTAGAATTTGTAGCAAGCTATTCTTTTAACTTTATTGCTTCTATTTCAGGCACTCCATAGATTTTTTTATTAAATAAATATTTGTTAAGAACTTCCAATGTGCCAGACACTGTTCTAGGCACTTGGTATGTATATATAAATTTAAAAAAAAATAAAAAAACCAAAACCAACCAAGGATCTCACATTGAGTGGAGACAAATTTATTGATTGTTTCAGAAATATTTGATGGTTTTTCTAGTGTCAAAAGGTGGCTTTGTAATATAAAAACCAGTGTTAAAATAATTGTGCTGTAAGAGGAGCTAGGAAACTCTGGTAACCTATTGGTAAGAAGCTCCACTGTAATCCTGGAGGCATTCAGTTCACATGTACCACTTGCTCCCCAGGAGAAGGCTGGGCAGTCTCCTCCTGTGTGATTAACTGCCTCTAAAACCCGCTGGAGGTTCAGCTATATGGGTCGGTTCTGAATAGTGCTACACAACAATAACAAGACGAGCTAGCTAAACCACAATTACTTAGGCTTCCATCAGTGAATATATTTGCCTTTCATTTTTTATATTGTTAGAGGTTAGTATAAGTTTTAAAGAGAAACTCTCATCTTCCTTACTGGTTGACACAAATCATTTTGTACAGAGAATTCTGATGAATATTTTATTTTTAAATGTTAAATTAGCTTTGATTTTATGTCAGTATGGTAAAAGAAAAATAATGACATAGGCTAAAAAAGTTGTACAAGTGTCTTATTAATGTTTTACAGATGAAAAGCCTTGTATTTCAAGAAAGTTGCATACATGAAAGCAGTTAAGTGTTGCTGTAAGAATGAATAATTGGTTATCTTTTCAGATTAGGTAAATTGTTTTAACATACTTTAGGTGGCTGGTTGTATGTATGTATTGAGTATCTGATTTGATTAAATTTTGAAAGTGATAGTTAATGGTGTAGACTATATGGTGATTACATATGGATTTATAGTAGTAAATCACTAGCACAGAAATTATTTTACACAATTCATCATGCATAATCTCAGAAATTATTTTATTTCATCTGTTATTTTTAATAAATTACTTCTGTTTCCATTTATATGTGCCAGTCCTGAGTAGTATTTACATGTGAATAAATTTCAAGAGGTAAGTATTTAATTTGTTACAAGAAAAAGTTAACTGTTAATTTTGACATTTTATGGTTTCTCTGGTTTTGCTTTAACAGTCATTCCTAAGTGAATGTGCTTATGTTATTAAAATGTATTTAAAATTTGTGCAGTTTGGAAAGCAGCATTGTATTCTTGGAAGTTAGATTCAGTCATTAATTGGGCAACAGGTGTGTTATGGAATTTTCTCCCATGTTACCTAATATTTTTCTTCTTTTGTTTTAGCATGCTTCCTGGGCTGTTACAGTCAATGGATTTATCAACACTGAAATGTTTTCCTCCTGGCCAGCCAGAAAAATTTTCTGCATTTTTGGATAAAGTTGTTGGATTACAAAAATAAATACTAAACTCTCAACACTTAAAAGATACACCCAAATCAACCTGTGGAATATTATTAAATATATAACATATTTGTAAGATAATATAAATTAATGAACTTCCAAGTGCTCTGGTGACAGTCACTATGCTAACTCAAAGGTGGCACCTCTCGTGGTTCAAATCCAATTTTCTGCATCTATAGAATTAATAGAAATTTTTTGTGTGCTAGCATTTATATTTAGAATCAAATCCTATTTGCAATTAGTAAACTTAATAGGTTTTCCCCTACTCTTCGTATTTTAATAAAATATGTATTCACAAGTTTTGTTCTAGAATCCCAAATACATTTGGAATCATGAAAACATCAATTTGATTTCAACTTTTTTTTGTAATTTGAAAGTTTACAAAACTTAATGACTTTTCATTCTTAAGAACATCATAAGATGAGTTTCTTTGGCACTATAAATGCAGTCAGTGTTTAATGTTTCCTAGATTAAAAAATGAAATAGTCACAAACTTTTACAGGTATTTTTTTATATATAAACCAGCACCTTCAGCTGTCCATAATCCAAGAACAAAACTGGGGGGGGAAAGTTAAGTAAAAATTACAGATTGTGGTCTGAGAAATTAAAAGCTTAATAACTGCCTAAAATACTATGAAGTCAGTTTTTTTGTTGTACTTCACTTTTATTCTGAAGAACAGAGTGAATATGTTCACCTTTTTTCTTTGAAATAGAAAATAGTAGAATGTTAGCCCAATGCCAAGAATTTATTGAATTGAGAGAAAAGGCTTCAGTTGATGTTATTTAGAATCTCTCTACTGCTTAACTCAGTTTTACAGATAAATAATCTGACATAGATAATGGCTGGAATAGATTGTTTTTAAAATCACAGAACAACTTGAATCATTATGGAATTCTTTGTAATTAAGTGATCTTGAGACCGTTAAAATATATGCAGTTACACCTAGGTGTCTATGATTTTTTTTAGAACATTGTTTATCTGTAAAACTTGGCCTACATTCCACTATATTATTATCCCAGTATGTTGAATGTTGCAGACTTTTCACTTGGGAGCTTTATATAACAATTGCATATTTATATTTCTGATTGTTTATTACTTAGGCTACTATTAAAGTACTTTTTATTAATGGTAGACGTTGGTGACTTAGGAGTGCTCTGGGTAGCAGGAGGAAGCCAGCTTGCATTACAGTTTTGCTGAGCTTAATCTAAAAAGTGAGTAAATGTGTAGTTGAGAATTCATAGGGCCGTAGTCATAATTGCATATTAACCTGGATTTCATTTCATAGAGGGTTAAGCCAGTGATGCCAATTTGTGTATTGACTACACTTTTATGATAGTTTATACTATTACTAGTGGAGTTCTAAATCAACAGCTATTTTAGAATTAATTTGAATTGGTAGGAATCCTCAAGATTATCTAGTCTTTTTCTGTTGTTTTTGAGATGAGGAGGCCGGTCAGCAATTAGGACTTCCCTGCAAGAACAGCTTTTAGCCACAGGCAACAAGTTCACTCCCGATACTAACATACAGTAATATAATTTTATTTTTATTTTTCTCTTTATAATCATTACTGTAATACCTTCCAAGGATAGTTTTATTTGTTTGGTTTTGGAAATTTAATTCAGTTTACTATGTTTTCCTTTAACATATGTGAAGACTTATGGTCTTACCTAGGGTCAGACATAGAAATGTGATTCATTACTTAATTGTTTAAAATCTAGGAAAATTCTGTGGGTAGGACTGGTGCTTAAATTGAATGAATGAAACTTTATAAGACAAAGAATTACAGAATTTTAGAGTTGAGAGAATTTATAGAATATGTGGCCTAAACCCTTCATTCGCCAGTTGAGGAACTAGATTAAGATAAATTAATTGCCATGTTCACCTATTATATAGTCCTTTTTTAAAAATGATAATAAAAATACATTCAAATTAACTCAATGAAGTTAAAGTTCTCTGGTTTTATTCTATGGCTGGTAACAACTTCTATTTTTTAATATCCGTGAGGAAGTAGAATACAGCTTATTTAGCCATTTACTATTAGAGCGTAAAGAATTAAAAGGGTTTAAAATTTGGAGACATTCACCCTGGGATGGCTTTAGGGATGGACAGCTAGTAGGGTGATAATCGAAAGTTGATAGAGTAGATGAAATGTGACATGAGATTTTAAGAGTTAAGTATCTTAGGTGCTTATAGTTGTAGAAGGAAGACAAGAGCATGAAGGATGTTATAAAACAGTACAACCAGTGAACTTGAAAATGAAGCGTAGACATATTTTAAAATAGTCATGTCTAAAATTTACCAATATAATTTGTAGACACTTAAACAAGACATAAAAATGTACTATACCACCATTGATAGTTTTAGAAAGAGATTTGCAAGCCTGAATACTAAGTCATGAGTGACTCACAATAGTGGTTTATTTTTCATGGCCTTTCATTATGGTATGGGTGAGAAAGATTGGCAATCTGCCTCTAAAGATTTACATCTTTGGAAACCCTGTGAGACTATTCTATCCTGTAAGATCACAATTTGGAATTGATACAGTGGCAGTGTTAAGTTGGGGTCATTAGGACATAAATGCCTACATGCTTTCTTTGATTTGTTAATTATATAAAATTCTTATATGAGTATAATCTGAGAGGTGAAACATTTAGAGATTGTTTGAAGTAGATTTTTTAAAAATTTGAGTGGTCATGGTTACTTACAGTCAATTTTCTGCTGTATAACATGTATTCTAACTTTATAGAGTTTTAAGTGAAACATTACAGAGCTAGTTTTTCATTGAGTTGTTCATGTGCGGTTTGTTTTACAACATTACATACAGTTTTTATGACATTACATTCAGTCCCCGAATTGTAACAGCATTATTTCCATTTCTTATCTCTGATTTTCATTTCCATGTATTCTTTTCTTTCTTGCCTTCTGAATTCTATCCCTGGGTAAATGCTGCTCCTTTGGTTTTGTATGCTTAATTATCCTAAGGAATGAGTACCTTCCTGATGTTAATTGTTCACCATAAACAAACCTGTCTATTGTTTGGCTCTACTTGAGCCTCCTGTGTGAATTGAATTCCAGGCTCAAAGGATAATTAAAGTCTTGGGCAATGAGTGTCTCCACCAGTCCATTAGAATAGTAGGTCTGGCCATTTTGGTGATTTTAAGTTTTGTTTCAGTTGGCCCATTCTGTCCAATACACTTTACTTGTGATCCTTTTTTTGAGTGGTCAGCATTAGTAGACAGGCACCATCCAATTTTTATTTTGGAACACTGAAAGTTGACATTTGATTGGTCCATGAGTTTTTGGACTGTTTTTTGCACTTTGATTTTCTTCACTATTTTTTGTTCTGGACAAGGAGAGAAGAATAGTTGCACAGTACTGTTGTTTTCACTGGGTACAGGGAAAATAGTGATGGCAGTTAATACTTGTTGGATGTTTAATATGTACCAGATAATTGTGAAAGCATTACTTTAAATTCTATGGAATAGTTACTATTGTCCCATTTTACACCATAGGACATGCACTGGAAAAAAATTGCATGCAGCTTAAAGGTGTAAGATGCTCTGAGAATTGAAATTGTTGCTGTTGTTATGCCCATTGGAATAAAAATTGACTCATAGCTGAGCTTCCAGAGGGTTTTCAGAGGAATGTGAATTACCAATGGAGGAGATTGTCCGTCTTTCTCCTGCAGGGCAGCTAGTGAATCCAAATGGTTTGCCTTAGGTTTGGCAGCACAACTCCTTACCACTAGACCACCAGAGCACCCTAGGAATTGTAATTAGAATACTGAAATCTAGGCTATTTTAACAATTAATGGGACAGTAGGATAGAATTTCTGAAATAGAATTATTCTACGAAATCCAGGTTTTATTTATAAAACCTATTTTAGCTTTTGCGTTAGGGACCTCTCTAAAGTACTCAGGGGCAACAGTGTCTCTCTGGAGACTAAGGTGTGCCTGATACAGGCCATGGTCTTTGCAATCGCTTGTTATGCATCAGAGAGTTGGACAATGACTAAGGAGGACGGAAGGAGAGTTGATGCTTTTGAGCTGTGGTGCTGGAGAAGACTACTGAATGTACCATGGACTGCCAGGAAAACAAACAGATTCTTCTTGGAGAGGATTATACCAAGCTACTCCTTGGAGGCAAGGATTCTGGGATTTGTCTGACATACTTTGGACATGTTGCCAGGAGGGACGGGTCCTTGGAGAGGGACAGCACAGGAGGGGAAGACCCTCTATGAGATGGATTGATTCGGTGACTGGGGTAATCGGGATGGGTGTGTCAGAGGCAGTGCGGTTGGCGCAGGATAGAGCAGGGTTTAGGGCTGTTGTGCATAGGGTCGCTATGAGTTGCAAACGACTCGAGGGCACATAACAACAACAACATTACTATTTAAAAGTATACTCATTACTACACATTGAATCTGTGTGGAGAAAGTTCAAAGTTATTTTCTGGCTCCTTAGTTTTCTCCTTAAATGTGTTCTGGAGTTCTGTTTTTATCCTTTTAATATGATATTGCTTGATCTTTTCATCATTTCCAGCGCTTCCATTACTCCTCTGTCTATTCTTAACACTATTTTGTTCTACTGTTATTTCTGGCTGCCTGTTTCTCATGTTTCATTTGGTCTTCCTTAGTCATTGTCCAACTTTGAGATGCGTAAGACTTTTTTAAAATACCATGATATCCTTGCTCTTTAGTACTTTAAAGAGGTCATTGACAGCAGATTTCTCCACTGCAACACATCTTCTGATGTCTTAACTATTGTGGATCCAAGTAAAGTGAAATTGCTGACAACTGCACTGGTGATGAAGATTTTTGTTTTTCTTCATATTGAAATTTAATCTGTATTGCAGAGTTGAGGCATCCAGCTTCCTTAAAGCTTGGATTCCTTAAAGACTTGGACACCCATGGAGCAGTTCTACTCTTCTGTGGAGTAGATAGGAGCCAGTATTTGACTCAGTGGTATTGTCTGGGTTTTAGATTGGTCATGTGTGTAAGCACCTCAAACTAAATGTTCTCTAAACTACCTATTTCTCGTTTTGGGGGGGTTTGTGTGTGTGTGTGTGTGTGTGTGTATGTGTGTGTTTTTAAGAATCC